AGTCTGTACAACATGCTGGGTGAGGCCTTTTTCAAGCTTGAGAAGTTTGACGATGCCGAGAGATGGTACCTGGAGGCGCTGAAGGTGAAGGCTGACCACGTCCCCGCCCATCTCACCTACGGAAAGCTACTCGCCAAGATGGTAAGTCCTGCTCGCGGTAGCAGCTGATACACAAAACGTTACACGGAAGGGTATGGATAAAGATATGCTTCATGCAAATGTGTAACAGATAACGGGTATACACCATGACCTAAGACACAAGGCTCAGAGCAAGGACATAAGGGATAAAGAGCACTGGAGGTAAGAGTAAATTCAAGATCAAGATCGAGCTATACATTAGTTATAACTGAAATGAAAAGGCCATAGAATAAGTAAAAGGCACACACGAAGAACAAGAGAACATTGAAAGAATACAAACGGAGAAGGCTGTAGATTACACAAACAGGGAAACAGACAAAAAGTAGAGCCGGGCATACAGAGAGATAGACAGACGAAGGGGTTTTGACATAGCAAAAGCAACCTGGAGCAGGTCCGGGCACAACAGATCACTGACTAGCCAGTCCACTTCTTCTCTATAGGAGGCCCCGTGTCTCTGCACCTTCACGACCAAAAATCCATTCGGGTTTCATCCTGGGGAGTTATCATTTTCTCGGGCCTTACCATTTCTGTCTGGCAGTCGCAGAAAAGGATATTCATGAATCAATAAAAAGGAATGTAGTGGGGCGTGTTTTTCTCTCTCTCTCTCTCGCTCTCTCTCTCTCTCTCTCTCTCTCTCTCTCTCTCTCTCTCTCTCTCTCTCTCTCTCTCTCTCTCTCTCTCTCTCTCTCTCTCTCTCTCTCTCTCTCTCTCTCTTTCTCTCCCCCCCCCCCTCTCTCTCTCTCTCTCTCTCTCTCTCTCTCTCTCTCTCTCTCTCTCTCTCTCTCTCTCTCTCTCTCTCTCTCTCTCTCTCTCTCTCTCTCTCTCTCTCTCTCCGCCAGATACAAAAACATTAAGTCAGCTGGCATCGTTGCAATATGTTGCCACGTTGGCGTATTTTTCTAATCTTGACGTACACTTTTTATTGTCGTAATATCAGAGGGAGTCGGAATCTTACGGACGAACTGTTGTTGCAAGAGGGTGTGATTGCGTTGTTAGCATTGTCTGCAGTTCGTAGCGCCCGGCATGCCAGGGCACCGCAGGAGGTGTTGTTAGCGCCGATAATTTTTCTCGAGTTGTTTAAGTGACAACGCTCGCATTACTGAAACACTATTCACAACGACTTTCGTCTGCCCGACCGATTCTCTGTGAACTGAGATATGTTCTCCAATTAAAACTCGATAATGGAAATGCAGCTTCTTTACCGAGTCATTTGCATTCGGCGCGAAGAGGGGAAAAACGCTAAATTCATGGTTTTATCGTTTAATATCCATACTGCATTAATCATCCGGGGCTTCGTATTGTTTTAAGAAGAGGGTTGGGCTGCGCCGCGTGTTTTTGCTCGAGGACGTGTGCGTACGCTGCTGTGTTTGGTCCTGTGTGTGCGCGGCTCGGCTGATCGCTCCATTTCTGTCTGCTCATGCTTAGATGTGGGTAATACACTTATGTAGATATTTATATATATATATATATATATATATATATATATATATATATATATATATATATATATATATATATATAATACACACACACGTTCGCATAATAAATGCGTCTGTGTGTGCGAAATGCCAACCGGCCCCTCTCTCTCCCAGGCGAAGAGCGCGGGCGCTTCCCCCAAATTGACTTTTCCGATCTTGCGATGTCCCGCGCTCAAGGAAGTGGCAGGCGACCTCCCCGCGCGCGCCTCGGGCCGGAGCGAAGATGCGAGCGGAGAGCCTCATTATGCGGCCCTGTCTCCTGGATCCTTCGCGTCCCGGCTAACCTCCGAGTCTCGCTCGCTCCCGACACGCTTTGTAAATGAGCTCCTCTGCCCTAACGTACCCCCTCCTCGCCCTCACCCCCTCCCTGCTACCCTGTCCGGAGAGTGATCCGGTAGTGCCCCCCCCCCCAGCACCACCCCCTTTCTTGCTTGTCCAGCGCCTCTTAAGAAGGTGTGAAAAACCTCGTCAAGACTCCCCCCCCTCCCCGAAGATGCCTGCTACCCTCGTCTCGCCCATTTTTCTTGTCACGTGCAAACCAGGCAGCTCCCCCTCCCTCTCCTCGCTTGCTCTCTCTCTTTCTTTCTCTCTCTCTCTCTCTCTCTCTCTCTCTCTCTCTCCCCCTCTCTCCCTCCCCCCTCCTCTCTCTCCTCTCCTCTCTCCTCTCCCCTCTCCCTCTCCCTCTCTCTCCCTCTCTCTCTCTTTCCCTCTCTCTCTCTTTCCCTCTCTCTCTCTTCCCTCTCTCTCTCTTTCCCTCTCACTCTCCCTCTCCCTCTCCCTCTCTCTCCCTCTCCCTCTCCCTCTCCCTCTCTCTCCCTCTCCCTCTCTCTCCCTCTCCCTCTCTCTCCCTCTCCCTCTCTCTCCCTCTCTCTCCCTCTCCCTCTCTCTCCCTCTCTCTCCCTCTCCCTCTCTCTCCCTCTCCCTCTCCCTCTCTCTCCCTCTCCCTCTCTCTCCCTCTCCCTCTCCCTCTCTCTCCCTCTCCCTCTCTCTCCCTCTCCCTCTCTCTCCCTCTCTCTCCCTCTCCCTCTCCCTCTCCCTCTCTCTCTCTCTCTCTCTCCCTCTCTCTCTCTCTCTCTCTCTCTCTCTCTCCCCCTCCCTCCCTCCCCCCCTCCCTCTCTCCCTCTCCCTCCCCCTCTCCCTCTCCCTCTCTCTCCCTCTCTCTCTCTTTCCCTCTCTCTCTCTTTCCCTCTCTCTCTCTTTCCCTCTCTCTCTCTCTTTCCCTCTCTCTCTCTCTTTCCCTCTCTCTCTCTTTCCCTCTCTCTCTCTTTCCCTCTCACTCTCTTTCCCTCTCTCTCTCTCTCTCTCTCTCCCTCTCCCTCTCTCTCCCTCTCCCTCTCTCTCCCTCTCCCTCTCTCTCCCTCTCCCTCTCTCTCCCTCTCCCTCTCTCTCCCTCTCCCTCTCTCTCCTCTCCTCTCTCTCCTCTCCCTCTCTCTCCTCTCTCTCCCTCTCCCTCTCTCTCCCTCTCCCTCTCTCTCCCTCTCCCTCTCTCTCCCTCTCCCTCTCTCTCCCTCTCCCTCTCTCTCCCTCTCCCTCCCTCTCCCTCTCTCTCCCTCCCCCTCTCCCTCTCTCTCCCTCTCCCTCTCTCTCCCTCTCCCTCTATCTCCCTCTCTCTCCCTCTCCCTCTCTCTCCCTCTCCCTCTCTCTCCCTCTCCCTCTCTCTCCCTCTCCCTCTCCCTCTCTCTCCATCTTCCTCTCTCTCTCTCTCTCTCTCCCTCCCTCTCCCTCCCTCTCCCTGTATGTATATATATATATATATATATATATATATATATATATATATATATATATATATATCCATTTCAAAACTTTCCCAAGCCATTTCTTCATTTCTTTCTCTCTTTCCGGATTCCCCAACGTTACCCTCGTCACGCCCCCCCCCCCCGTCCCCGCATCAGAACAAATAGATAACAAATAATAAATCAGACCCTCCGCCCGTGTGATAACCTCCTCCTCCTCCTCCTCCTCCTCCTCCTCCTCCTCCTCCTCCTCCTCCTCCTCCTCCTCCTCCTCCTCCTCCTCCTCCCCTCGCCTCCCTTCCTCTCCGCCTACCCTTCCTTCTTTATCTTCACCGTTCTCTTCTTCCCTCCTCCTCTTCCACCTCTACATCCTTGTTCTCCCTCTCCTCTTCCTCCTCTTCCTCCTTCTCCTCCGCCCACCACCCTCCTCCTCCTCCTCCTCCTCCTCCTCCTCCTCCTCCTCCTCCTCCTCCTCCTCCTCCTCCTCCTCCTCCTCCTCCTCCTCCTCCTACCCCCCTCTCCTCTTTCTCCTCCTCCTCCTCCTCCTCTTCTTCTTCTTCATCCTCCTCTTCCTCCTCTTCTTCCACCTCCTCCTTCTCCTCTTCTTCCGCCTCCTCCTTCTCCTCCTCTTCTTCCACCTCCTCCTTCTCCTCCTCTTCTTCCACCTCCTCCTCCTTCCCCTCTTCTTCCACCTCCTCCTCCTTCTCCTCTTCTTCCACCTCCTCCTTCTCCTCCTCTTCTTCCACCTCCTCCTCCTTCCCCTCTTCTTCCACCTCCTCCTCCTTCTCCTCTTCTTCCACCTCCTCCTTCTCCTCCTCCTCTTCCACCTCCTCCTCCTTCTCCTCCTCCTCTTCCACCTCCTCCTCCTTCCCCTCTTCTTCCACCTCCTCCTCCTCCCCCTCTTCTTCCACCTCCTCCTCCTTCCCCTCTTCTTCCACCTCCTCCTCCTTCTCCTCTTCTTCCACCTCCTCCTTCTCCTCCTCCTCTTCCACCTCCTCCTCCTTCTCCTCCTTCCACCTCCTCCTCCTCCTCTTCTTCACCTCTCCTCCTCCTCTTCTTCCACCTCCTCCTTCTCCTCCTCTTCTTCCACCTCCTCCTCCTTCTCCTCTTCTTCCACCTCCTCCTTCTCCTCCGCCTCCGCGCCTCCTCCTCCTCGCCCGAACCATGATTTTAAATTGCGGTCTCTTGTAGATGTTTATCCTAAGCCGACGACACGAGTCCTGTTGCCAGCCCTCCCGGTCAGGCGATTCTCGTCCTTAGGGAGTCACGCTCGTAGGGTCATCTCCCAAGCAAGTAATGGAGGAGAATTAGCTAAATTGATTTATCACTGCGGGCTCGGAAGGTTCGATATTCCAACGACGTGTACTTCGAACACCGCAGGGACTGGGCGAGTTTCAACCTTATGTACAAGACTGATAAGATCGTTATTATCCCCCTTATCCTCTTCTTCCATCCCCTACTTCTCTTCCTCCTTCTCTTCCTTCCCCTGCTTCTTTCTCTTCCTCTTCTTCGTCATACTCTTTCTTCTCCTTTTCCTCTTCCTACTCCTCTTTTCCTTTCTTACCTCCTCTTCCATCTCTTCCTTTCTTCCTCCTCTTCCTCCTCCTCCTCCTTTTCTTCCTCCTTCTCCTCCTCCTCCTTTTCCTTC